ATTGGCCGGGAATCGAACCCAGGCCTCCCGCGTGGCAGGCGAGAATTCTACCACTGAACCACCAATGCTTACAGAAGTTCACTCCTACCCTTGCACACGCACACACGCACACAAACTGCCGACTCAGCAGCTGAGAATTGTTAAGCTAAATGGCTCTAAACCGTTTCCCATTCATTTCCAATGGTAGTCCTAAACCACTACGGATGTAATATATTTTTGACCACTACTCCGTGGAGGCGCTGTCCAATCTTATATCCAGGAGTGACACAGCCCTCTCCTTGCTTGGATTCAGAAGAAGACAACTTTCCGGCCTTTAAACTGAAATCTTTAGGAGAACTTACCAGCGTTAAGCAGAGAGAAGAAAAAATATCAAAGAAATCGATCTTCACATCCATCCTTCTTAATTTTAATAGGTAAGTGATGCAGATGGATATAAAACATGTTTACATCACGATCGCATCTTTTCAGCCGAATATATTACATGTAGCGGAAGCGTTACTTTCTACTACTACGGTGTCTGGTGTTACCTAGTAATATAATTTGGCTTCTGATTTAATGTTGTTTGGTTTATGTGTCGGTTCTACATTGATTAGCTCTTATGTATTAATCATAACATTTAAAGAAAATGTATTTGATCCATCCTTTTTTGCTCCACACCAGGTCAAACTGCAGAAGACCATTTTTTATCCAGGGAAACCAAGTGTGGTTTTCCACAAGGGGCCCCTTGGCTTCCTTCTTCAGGATCCCTCTCCTGAGGCAAAGAAGATCAAAAATAATCCCAGTCTGAGCCTAAGAGAGAGGATGTTGTGCAGCAGAATGCTATGACTGTGGTCCGGGAAAGAGGAGGGGATGTCACAGACGCGTCAGAAGTCCTGGGAGATTACAGCCTCCAATTTGGAAAGTACAAAGGGAAGTGTTTCCGATGGCTCTTAGAAAATGATGCAGGTTACACTTTGTACCTCATCAGAAACCTTCAGAAGCAGGAGGAAGCTGGAATCTGCATCACTGAGAGCCTTAGCAAAGTAAACCACCTAACCTTTGTGAAATATGCTCTCAGTTTTAAAGAGATTAAAGATGCCCTGGACTATGAAGCTAGCAGAGACAATGTTACAGCAGCCTCTTCTGAAGATGACCAGCTGGTTGGTTTTGGCTCTCGGGCCAAGAGCACTTGGAGGGAAATTTGGGACGGTAGAAAAGATGGTTATGCTGCTTTCATAGTGAAGAAGAGCTGTCTTCCTGGGACCAGGATGAAGAAGCTGCACCAGTACCTGCTCAACAGACAACAGTCCTCCTTCAGTCAAACCAACACACCATCCAGTGAACCAGATAAATGTCTGGGTGAGCAACTATGAATGTTGCATTAAAAATGTTAAGATGACAGGGCAAATACTGCCTTAATTTTTTTAAAATGCAATATTAAATATCTGTTTGTTGCATAGGTAACACTATCCGGATGCTATTCACAACTTCCTTATCTGTTGTCTTAAAATTATAATGAAGCCACAGAGAAATAACAGAATAACACTTCTTTTCAGATTCTAGTACAAGTGCAGCTTCAACCTCCTTTTCTTTGCAGACAGTGCTGAAGACGGTAAGAACAGATTGCATCCAAAAAACGATTTTTTTTTAACTCTGAAGTAGTTTGACTTATTAAAAGCATTTCCACACCGTCTTTCAAATATTTTGTAAATAATATGACTACTATTTGGAACACATTTTACAAATTTGTAATTTAATTGTTTATTTTTGCATTATTGGGAACCTAATTCCATGTGTTTTCATATTTTTATGACAGCTTCCTCAGCTCAGCCACCCTTTGATGTGCCCTTGCTTCAACATGACATGAACAGCTGGAACTGTTCTCAGCACCAGAAACTGTGGATGAGGACAGAGCTGCAAGATCTTGGCCTGTGACCTGGGTCTCGTCCTGTGCAAAATGTTGGAAATGCAATTTCCCTCTGGCATCATCCTCCGCAGCCTGAGCTCATAGACACAGTGGCTGAGCTCCCATTTGAGCTTCACCAATTCTTTATTTGGAAACCTGAAAATTAAATCATGTCAAGGCTGAAAAATAACTAGAACCTCCCATGTCTTCATGGATGTCCTCAACCACAAGTTGTTTCCGCTGGTGTGGGCCGACCTCAGGTGATTGTTGGGACTAGTGGGCAATATTGCATCCTGTCCTCTAGACTTTGCTGTTAGTCTTGTCGGAAGACCTGATTTGTTGACAGTCCTCGTTGGCTGGAGAAGCAGCCCAGAAGATTCACCAACCTGCTGCCTGCATTTCTTACTTACAAGAAGGCCATCTGTAAATCAGTCATGGATGAACTCCAGACGCACTGGAAAGTCACCTGCAGATATGCCCAAGCAAGTGAATGAGCTCATGCATCTCAAACATGAACGAGCTCATTTAGCTTATCTACAGGCCACTGAGAGCATCTGGGATGCAGAGGCTGGGGTACAGGGACAGAGGACCATTGGGTAGTTCTTCAGGAAAAGCCACACACCATATCCATTCAGCTCCTACGAAGATCCAAATGACTGGTGTGGCATCTCTGTGTCCGCCTTCTACCTCACAAACTGTTTGCTAGAGGAGTACAGACCTCAAGAGCCAGCTTTGTCAAGACTCCTCCAAGGGTCTTCAGGTCTG